AGTCAATTATGGATCGATACTTCTAAAATTTAGAACAATTTTTGTACATACAAATATTGTTTATGTCGCATTTTTGAGCCAATAATGAGCTTTAAAGTCATTTTATAATGGGGACTTTAGTAGAGGCATAGGGTAGGGGCTCATACAAAACTTGTTTATGTGAAACTTCATCGCTGTAGTCGTATTTGAGAGTCAGTAATCATAAAATTTAAGAAAATGATTTTAGTTCTTATAAAACTTTTTTATGTCGAATTTTATTGTTATATATATGCTTCTTATGTGAGATATGGGCATTTTCTGAAGGGGATCTTATATGGGGGATAGGGTCAATTATGGACCGATCCTTATAAATTCTACGAAGAGATTTATGTTCCCATAAAACATATTTTGTGCCAAATGTCACCGCTATTGATGGTTCTCTTAGCCAATTATGGGCGATAAAGTCATTTTCTGAAGGGGACTTTGTATGAGGGGTAGGGTCAATTATGGGCCTATCATTATAAAATTTTACATAGAGATTGAGGTTCTCATAGAACATGTTTGTGCCGAATTTCAGCGCTATTGATGCTTCTCTTAGCCAATTATGGGCGATAAAGTCATTTTCTGAAGGGGACTTTGTATGGGGGGTAGCGTCAATTATAGGCCTATCATTATAAAATTTTACAAAGAGATTTAGGTTCTCATAGAACATGTTTGTGCCGAATTTCATTGTTATTGATGCTTTTGTTAGCCAGTTATCGACGATAAAGTCATTTTCAGAAGGGGGCTTTATATGGGGGGTAGGGTCAATTATGGGCCTATCCTTATAAAATTTTACAAAGAGATTTAAGTTCCCATAAAACATGTTTGTGCGAATTTCACCGCTATTGATGCTTCTCTTAGCAAGTTATGAGCGATAAAGTAATTTTCTGAAGGGGGCCTTATATGGGGGCTAGGCGAAATCGTGGACCGATATTACCCATTTTCAATACCAAACAAACTGCATCAACTAGAAGTATCTATGCAAAATTTCAGCTCGCTAGCTACTTCTATTTGGACTCTATCGTGTTTTCAACAGACAGACAGACAGACAGACGGACGGACATGGCTAGATCGTCTTAGAATCTAATAAGGATCCAGAATATATATACTTTTATGGGTCTTAGACGAATATTTCAATGTGTTACAAACGGAATGACAAAAACAATATACCCTTTTATACCCACCTTTTTTGATGGTGGGTATAAAAACTAAAATTTGCATATTGTTAAATTTATTTTGCTGCATACATCCATAAGTGGTATGAAATAAATAAAACAAGTAAGAGTGTTATATTCGGCCATGCCGAATCTTATATACCCACCTTCAAATCATCCTTATAAATAAACTTTGATATTATCGATCTATGTTGAATCATATGTCGATATTAATATGAACATCAAGGAAATATTTGGAAGAGGGCCTTTTATAAGGGCTTAAGCATGGACCGTGTTCTTCCGAATTAAAAATATTAATTGTGTTTGATCCATAAACTGTTTTTTTGTAAGAGTGGATATATGGAGGGTAGAGTCAATTATGGGCCTATCCTTGTCGGTTTATACAATAGTTATTTGTATCTAATGTAGCTGTACTTGTATCTTTAATTCAGTCATTAGGTTTAAAGTAATTATCTGAAGAAAACCGAAAATGGGTGTTTGATTAGTTATCGACGGATCAAATTCAGTTGAAAAATTACAGTTCCTATAAAACTACCGTAATTTGGAAGAACTTCTGAGCCATACATGAGCGTTAAAGTGATTCTCTGGAGTGAATCTTATATAAGGGTCAATTTTAGACCGATTTTTATAAACTTTCGTACATAAATTATGTTCGTAAGTCGTAATTTTAAGCAACTAATGAGAGTTAAAGTAATTTTACTGAAGTGGTCATTTATTGAGCCATCTTCATCAATGTCGGTAGGAAGAAGTTCCCATAACACTTATGTTGAATTGCATATATCTACTCTTATTTTTATGTCAGTAATGAGCGCTAAAGGCGCCCCTATACGCCCACCCCCGTATAAGTCAATTATGGATCGATACTTCTAAAATTTAGAACGATTTTTGTACATACAAATATTGTTTATGTCGCATTTTTGAGCCAGTAATGAGCTTTAAAGTCATTTTCTAATGGGGACCTTAATAGGGGCATAGGGTAAGGGCTCATACAAAACTTGTTTATGTGAAGTTTCATCGCTGTAGTCGCATTTGATCGTTACAGTCACTATCTGAGGGGGACCTTATATGGAGGGTGGGGTCAGTTATAGACCGATCCCCATTAAGTTTGATAAATAGTTTTTGGCTAGTACAAAACTTGTTTACGTAAAGTCATTTTCTGAAGGGGACCTTATAGGGGGGTAGGTTCAATTAAAGACTGATCCTCATAAAATTTAGTGGGAGATTTTAGCTAATATGAAAATTGTTTATGTTGAATTTCATTGCTGTACTCGCAGTTTTAAGCTAGTAATGAGCTTTAAAGTCATTTTCAGAAGGGACCTTACAAAGGGGATAGGGTTAATTAAGGACCGATCCTTATAAAATTTGATGAAGAACATTTGGTTCTCACAGAACTTGTTTATGTAGAATTTTACTGCTGTACTCACATTTTTGAGTCAGTAATAAGCCTTAAAGTAATTTCCCCCATATGTGGGGGGTAGGGTCAATTATGGACCAATCCTCATAAAATTTAAGAAAATGATGTTAGTTCCTATAAAACTTTTTTATGTCGAATTTTATTGCTATATATATGTATATATGTTTCTTAAGGTCAGATATGAGCATTAAAGTCATTTTCTGAAGGGAACCTTATATAGGGGGTAGGGTTAATTATGAACCGATCCTTATAAAATTTTACGAAGAGATTTAAATTCTTATAAAACATGTTTGTGCCGAATTTCACCGCTATTGCTGCTTCTTTTAGCCAGTTATGAGCGATAAAGTAATTTTCTGACGGCGGTAGGGTCAATTATGCTTATAAATTTTTACAAACACCCAATTTACACGATGATTTTTTTTCATGTTTGCCCAGACGTCTGTTTTCATGTTTGTCGATGATTGGCGGTGAGCGGGGTAGAGAAGAATGGGGGGTAAGAAAACAAACATGATTTGGGATTTTCATGATTGTTTTTGACATTCCTCTTTAAACTCATTCGTACTGTTGATATTATGCTCATGTAAAAAAATAATTATGTCTTTTTTTTACATGAAAACATTAAAATTTGCATTAAAAAATACTATAGCGTGTTATTAATTTTTTTTTAAATCAAATTAAATGGTTTTTATGTTAAAAATTTCATTTTATTTTTATTACGAATAAGTAATTAAAAAGGATTATACAATTAAACATCAAAAAAAGACATGCATAGTTGCATGTAAAAAATCACCGTATAAATGTTCATGATTTTTTAGAAGATTCTCAAAAGAGAATTGGAAAAAACAGACGTCTGAAAAGTCTTCATGTAAATTGCGCCAAAGTGATTTATGTTCTCATTAAACATGTTTGTGCCGAATTTCACCGCTATTGATGCATCTCTTAGCCAGTTATGAGCGATAAAGTCATTTTCTGAAGGGGACTTTATATGGGGGGTAGGGTCAATTATGGGCCTATCCTTATAAAATTTTACAAAGAGTTTTAGGTTCCCATAAAACATTTTTGTGCCGAATTTCAGCGCAATTGATGCTTCTCTTAGCCAGTTATGGGCGATAAAGTCATTTTTTGAAGGGTACTTTATATGGGGGGTAGGGTCAATTATGGATCGATCCTTATAAAATTCTACGAAGAGATAGAGTCATTTTCTGAATTGGGCCTTATCGTGGACCGATTTTCAATACCAAACAAACTGCATCAAGTAGAAGTACCCGTGCAAAATTTCAGCTCGCTAGCTACTTCCGTTTGTACTCTATCGTGTTTTTAACAGACAGACAGACGGACGGACATGGCTAGATCGTCTTAGAATCTAATAAGGTCCCAGAATATATACTTTTAGATAAACATTTCAATGTGTTACAAACGGAATGACAAAAGCAATATACCCCCCATCTTTTTTGATGGTGCACTCAAAAAAATAATCAAGCCATCCGGGCTTGAATCAATCCATATCGGTCTCAATAGTACGGTAATCCCGGTTTGGCTTAAATCAAGTGCAAAATGATTGAATCAATCTAGAATCAGCCAATCACGAAAGTGCTGATTTTAGCGCGATTTAAACCTTTTTAGGATCAAAGTGATCTAAAAACATATTTGATTTAAAACAGTTTTTCCTTGATTTAATCTCGAATCCATACTAAAATGAGATCGAAATGATCCTAAATATGATTGTTTCAAGCATTTTAAACTTGATTTAATCCCAAAATCGCGCTTTATTTAATCCTTAAATTGATCGATTTGATCATTTGATATCTCAATATACCCAAAAAGCGCTTGATTTTATCCTAAAATCGCGCTTGATTTAATCTTAAAATTTATTGATTTGATCATTTAAAATGTCAAATTTACCCAAATAGCGCTGGATTTAATCCTGAAATCGTGCTTGATTTAATCCTAAAATTGATTGATTTGATCTTTTAAAATGTCAAATTTACCCAAATAGCGCTGGATTTAATCCCAAAATAGCGCTTGATTTAATCCTAAAATTGATTGATTTGATCATTTAAAATGTCAAATTTACCCAAATAGCGCTTGATTTAATCCCAAACTAAAATAAGTTTTTTATATTTTATTTTATATTTATTAATATTTATTTATACAAAAGAATCATTAATTTTTTAATTAACAAAAAAGTTAATATATTAATATTTAATTCATTCAATATAATATACATTTAACAAAAATATCATAAATTTTTTTTAATAAACGAAAAAATTATTTTTTTTAATATTAAATTCATTCAATATAATATACATATGTACATATAACAAAAATATGGTTTAGTTTTAATATATTTCGTATTTTTCTGATGGAAATATCGAGACTATTTCATTTACCAATAACGGAAAATCTGGAACTCTTATTATAATCTGGCTGCACATAACTTCTCCAACTATTATTTTTATAAGGAAATCCCTTTGATCGATAGTTAGCTTTTTCGTTCTGTATTCTAATATCGCCCTTCCGCCTGCCGTTTCTTTTAAAATATCTATCAAACACTTAACGATAATAAACACGGTTAAGGATAATAATTATGATAGAATAAAGTATGTTATACCTTATTTAAAACTCTTTTGCCACTGAAACTTTCATCAGACATCCAATTGTCGACCTTCGAATCGACTGAAATCGTTTCGTCATCAATTTCGAACTGTAAAATTGGATTATATAAAATGATACGATCAAGTATATAACACATTTTTTTATGATTTACCTGCTGTTTTTTCCATTTAAAGAGCTTCTCCCGAAATTCAATTCGGAGGCCAAGAGGTGGTATGGCTTCTTTTATTTCTTCTTTTTGAATATATTGCAAGCTTTTGTACGTTACCTTAGCAGCTGTAGAAATAAATAAAACATTATTAATAAAAGCATTATAGAAACATTTTTAATCAATTAAAAAAAATGTTTTTAAAAATTTTTAACATATTTATATTTTATTTTATTGAAATTTTTATATTTACTATTTGTTTTCAATATATTGATTTTTTTAAATGTATTTATTAAAAATTTTAAATTAATTTATATCTTCTTAAAATTAAAAAAATTTGATAATGTTTTCAATAAATTTCCACATGTTATAAAAATTTAGTTATTTTAATTTAAATAATTATTTTCTGCATTTTTTATTTATTGTATTTTTTTGTTCACATACTGAAAATTTAAAAAAAATCAATCTCTGATGGATATTGTAAAACAGGGAGTATAACTTCAGAAAATAAAAAAAATTAATTGAAAACAAATAAAAAATAATTTATTTAACTGTTTGTTTGACAATATCGAAACAACATTTTCTTTCTTATAAATATATTGAAAACAAAGAATAAATAAGAAATGAAACTGTTGTCAAAAGTACCTAAGTCTACTGTCATCCGGTACCTAACTCTAAGAATGTATTAGTAGAATTCTCAAGTCAACATAGTTGCAAAAAATAGTATTGAAAAATATTGAAAAAAAATTATTACATTTCAATTTATACTTTGAAAGGTTTCTTAAGATATTTTGCACATATTTTATCTATAAACATTTTATAAACACGTCTATTTGTTTTTTAATCTATAATATTGAAAAAATAAATTATTTATTTGAAATATCTTTTTCGTTTACCATACGAAAATTTACAACATTGTTTTTTTTAGTTTTAATTTCAAACAACAAAAATTCAATGTCAAAAAACAAAAAATATTTTTTTTTTCGTTTGTAAAAAATATATTATTTTCGGGCTATTAAATGTGTTTAAATTGTGCAAAAAAATTATAAAATATAATGTTAAGTGATAAAAAATATTTCCAAGTGCTATTATCTTCAAATTTTCGCGAAAAAGTTTTGAAGTTTGGAGAGAGAATAAAATTTTTACATATGTGTTGGATTTACACAGCACTCGTCTGTGAGAAGAGCGTAATGTTATTGTTGTAAAAAAATGACAGCGTTTCACTTCTTGTTTATTCTTTGATTGAAAACAAACACAAAATTTAAAATTTTCTTCTTGTTTTCAATAGATTTGTAAGAAAGATAATGTTCTTTCTGCAGATAAATGTTATTATATCTTCAATAGGAAATTTTTCAATATTTTTTTTTTTTTTTTGATTTTCAGTAAATTTAGATTTTCATTATTTTTTTTTAATTCTCACTATTTTTTTAATTTTCACTCACATATTTTTAAAATTAAGTTTTTTAATTATAATTAACTTCTTTATGACCACTTGTTTTGAATGAAATTATTTTTTAAAATATTTTTAAACAATTCATTTAGTTATTTAATACACATTATCTAACTTAAAATTTTTGCAACCACTCTTCGCAAATTATACAACAGAAATGAACACTAAACTACGCATTTCACAAGGGAATTTTACAATGTCTTGCTATTTTCTTACAATCTCATTTTTTGTTCTCGTTTGATGTGCATAACAACAAGAACTTGTTTTTTTACTGCAAATATTGCATCATAAAAAAACACATTCAAACGAGGAGAGCAAGATCAAAAAAACCACCACCAAACACGCAATAGAAAAAAGAAGAGAATAAACAAGAGAGTTTTACTTCTTTTTTTATTACTTGATTTTCTTAAAGATTTTTTTGTCAATGTTTACAAGCGTGTTGTTGTAGTTTTCTTCAATTGCCTAAACACCAAAAGCCGTTACTAATATTAACTTATGGAAAAAAAAAAACAACAACAATACAACAACTTACTTATTTTTCAACAAAATAGAACATGCTGAATGTTGCCAAGCAAGGAATTTATGGTGGCATTTCTGTGCAGGTTGTTGTTGTGTTTTTTTTTTGCATAAGTTAAAATTAGTAGGGAATTTTTGGTGTATGCATATTAGAGTGGCCCAAAAACAAAACTTTCTGATATTCCCAATAAGCCTATAAGTTAATACAAATTTAGTATCACATGAAAGGTCTTTTAAAGGCGCTTTTAATGCATTTTTTTAATTATAATTTCGAATATTCTTGGACTTATTATACCTATATGTCATTAAAAGTGATTTTAAAGTCTTTTAAAATGATAACAAATTTGGCACAAGAACAAATAGATTAAAAAACATGTTCTTATATTTAACTAAATTTTTTGGTAACATTAACTACTTTTTTGGGTTCCTTAATGTATATGTACAGTTACACAAAGTTACGCCAAAATAAATTGTTGCAAGTTTATGGGCTTATGTTAGATGGATACTTTATTCTAACGTTTCTTTTATAGGTATTTATCATTAAAATCTAAAAAATACTCAAAAAGTGAATATTTTTATACAAAATGTTAAATTAAAATTTCCATCCGGAAACAAAATTAGACCCCAAACATGCTTTACTCAAAATGAATTCTATAAAAATTTACTTACCTTTTAGGTATTGATATGCCTCCTCTAAATTAAAGCTTTTCAGAAGCACTTGTAAAAGGGAATCGTCATCGTTTTGATCATCCATAATTAATTAATTAACACAAAACAACAAATTGTATGCAACACTACAAATTCTTTAAAACACAACAATGAAACACAACAATGAACTCAACGAACGCACAAAATAGACTGATACATTTCATCCCTTTAAAATAACTAGTAACTTGATTTCAATGTAAAACAGCATAAAAAGATTATTAGAGCGCATGAGAGAGTAAGTTTTATTTCTCTTATTTTCTCTCAGGGATTGATTTAACCCTTTTTTGGTTAATTCAATCAAAATACTGATCAATTTTTAATTAATCCTTTTTTGGAATCAAAATTACATTTTTTGAAATAAATTTGAGCGTTTTAGTGTTGATTTTAGTAATAAAAGGCAAAATTTTTTAAATCAATCCAGATTTTGGATTATTTTAAGCCAACGGAAACAAAAATGGAGTTCAATTTTGAAGTTCGTTTTGTGGCTAAAATTGAGAATAGAAAAGTTGATTTTACTTCGGCGTTTTTCTTTCTGTGTGGGTATAAAAGGATAAATAATAAAAACAAGACAAATTTACTACAATAAAAACGCACTTAAATTTCATAAAAACACATTTGTATTTTATTTCTCACCATAATATGTATAAAAACTTAAATTTGATTGAGACCGATTACACGAAAGAAGAAATTTATATGGGAAATATATAAAATGTAAATAAATAAACATGAAAATAATGTCAGTATTTTACTTTTACTGGCACTGGAAAAAGTGTAGAAAAAGGAACACTTTTTGCACTCTTTCACTAGTAATAACTTAAGTAATACAACCAAATAGTTCTTAAGAATCGTCAGACATTAAAAATATCTGTTGATTTATGGTATAAAACATTTTCATATGAAACGGTTGCTGTTTTTACTATGACAAAGTATGAACTGGAAGTGGATTTTTAATGGCTTTGTAATATATCGCTTTATAGGAGGGATGAGATAGAAACTAAGGCACAAAATTATATAAAATTGGAATCTTTGAGTGTATTATTTTACTTAAAGTCCCCTTTGTAATATCCTTTATTGGAAAATTTGTCTTAATAAAATCATTACCTTTTCTCTCTTTGAAAAGCTTTAACAAAAAATATATGTTTTATTGCCCTAATATATATTACAAAAATCTCAATTTCCTTTCCCTCCCTCGAATTTATTTACTGCAGCATATAATTTTCAAGCCAAACAATATCACAATAAATAAATTAAGGTTGACATAAACGAAAAGTAACAAATTTTTATTTAACATGTTGTTTGTCGCCATTTTAAGGTGAGAACTGTAAAGAACCCTTTTTTTGAGTGTAATAAAACTATAAAAAATAAATATTATTACACATTTCCGCACATTTATATTTATTTGCGATTGGCGCCAAGCATGTAAGGGAGTAAATGAAATGAATGTAATTTTTATACCCTCCACCACCATCAGTGGTGATAGAGGGTATATATAAGTTTGTCGTTCCGTGTGTAACACCAAGAAATATTCATCTAAGACCCAACAAAGTATATATATTCTGGGTCCTTATCAAATTCTGAGTCGATTTAGCTATGTCCGTCTGTCCGTCTGTCTGTCTGTCTGTCTGTGTAAAACACGCTCACGTTAAAACTAAGCAAAGGAAATAAACCAAATTCACCCAAAATATTTATTATTATCCTAAGCAGTTTGGTATTGAAAATGAGCAAAATCGGTTCACAACGTAAAAAGTTATGAGTAAAAATTTCAGACTACCTCGAAAAAAATTACGTTTTTTTCATAATTCTTTTGAAGTTTTCTCAGAAACTACCAAAGATATTTCGATGAATTTTGTCATACATTATTTTTTCAGGGTGGTGATCAACTATATTCAAAATCTTTACAATCGATCCAATATTTCCCATAGCCCCCATACAAAGGTATACATTCCCGGAAATTAGTTTATCGTTAATAACTCCCTCAAATATATCGGTATCAACACGAAATTTTGTACATGTAAATATAATATGAACAGAAATCATACTGTCAACGTAGATCTCAGTCGGTCCACAATTGGTCATAGCTCCCATATAAGGTCCACTTCCGAAAATCACCTAAACGCACATATTTCATTGATGAATAAAGCTATTATGATAAAATTCGAGTTTGATATGTTTTGTGTACATATAAATCATTCTGCCAAATTTTTTACGGATCGGTCTATTATTGGTCATAGCTCCCATATAAAGCCCACTTCCGAAAATCATTTAAAAGCTCATATTTCATTGTCAACTAAAGCTATTTTGATGAAGTCCGACACAAATATATTTAGTCGAAATATAAACCACTCTACGAAATTTTTTCCGGATAGGTCCATAATTGGTCATAGCTCCCTTATAAGGTCCACTTCCGAAAATCACTTAAACGCATATATTTCATTGAATTATAAAGCTATCCGGATAAAATTCGACACAAATCTGTTTTGTATACATACAAATCATTTTACGAAATTTTTTATGGATCGGTCCATAATTGGTCATAGATCCCATATAAGGCCCACTTCCGAAAATCACTTAAAAGCACATATTTCAATGCCAAAGCTATATTGATAAAATTCGACACAAATATGTTTTACCTAAACATGAATCATTCTACCATTTTTTTTTCCGGATAGGCCCATAATTGGTCATAGCTCCCATATAAGGTCCACTTCCGAAAATCACTTAAACGCATATATTTCATAGAATTCTAAAGCTATCGGGGTAAAATTCGACAGAAATATGTTTCGTGTGCATTCAAATCATTTCACTATTTTTTTACGAATCGGTCCCTTATTGGTCATAGCTCCCATATAAGGCCCTCTTCCGAAAATCACTTAAAAGCACATATTTCAATGTCAAGTAAAGCTATCTTGACAAAATTCGACATAAATATGTTTTGCATAAACATGAATAACTCTACGAAATTTTTTCTGGACAGGTCTATAATTGGTCATAGCTCCCATATAAGGTCCATTTCCGAAAATCACTTAAACGCATATATTTCATTGAGTTCTAAAGCTATTGGGATAATATTCGACTTGAATATGTTTAAAATCACATATTTCATTATCAAATAAAGCTATCTTGATAAAATTCAACACAAACATGTTTTGTCCAAATATGAATCACTCTGCGAAATGTTTCCCGAATAGGCCCATAATTGGTCATAGTTCCCATATAAGGTCCACTTCCGAAAATCACTTACACGCATATATTTCATTGAATTCTAAAGCTATAGGGGTAAAATTCGACTTGAATAAGTTTTGTGTACATATGAATCATTCTGCCACTTTTTTCTCGGATCGGTCTATTATTGGTCATAGCTTCTATATAAGGTCCACTTCTGAGAGTCACTTAAACACACATATGTCATTGTCAAATAAAGTTAATTTGAGAAAATTCGACACAAATATGTTTGTCTTTACATAAATCACTCTACGAAATTTTTCCGGATAGGCCGTAAACGCACATATTTCATTGATTAATAAAGCTATTGGAGTAAAATTAGACTTGATCTTTTTTTGCATAAAACTCATTATACGAAATTGTTTCCTGATCAGTCCATAATTGGTTACAACTCCCATATTCTGTGTATAGATACATCATTCTATTAAAATGTTTTCGAACTGGCGTATTAATATACATTTTTCTGGACCTAATCAAAATTAGTTCGACAAAAATTTTGGCAAGTTATCTAAAAATTAGATAGTTAGATGGGTTTCAATAAAAAGTAGTTTGCTGGTGGAGGGTATTTAAGATTCGGCATAGCCGAATATAGCACTCTAACTTGTTAAAGTTATTTTCGGAGTATTTGCCAAATTTCATAGTTTGATTTCAATGTTTAAACGGACGGACAGAGGGACGGATGTCGCTAAATCGATTCAGGAAAGTTAGTGTTTTTGTAAATAGTTTAAATTTTAATATTTAATATCGATATTTACAAAAATATATTTTAATATATTTTATTAAACCACCTTTTAAAGTCTGTAAAAGAGTGTTTGTTAAAAGTCCTTTTGGGTTGGGGGGGTTGGGTTGATAGGAGGATGTATACTACATCAAATCCGAAGAAATACACCTAGGCCACTATCGGGCCTGTTGTGCGCTCCAATTCAAGAAAAAAAAAAAAAAAAAAAAAAAAAAAAAAATTGTTCACTGAGTGTATTATTTTTCCATGTTCAGAAACTCAGTTTCCTGGACGTAATTCCTAAGAATCTTCCAATCGGTGTTGGTTAAGAATGTTATTTCCGGAATAACATCACTTCCAAGATACTTGGATCTAACTTCGACGAATGCCTGACAATGGCAAAGAAAGTGCTCCAGAGTTTCACTGTCCTCTCCACATGCTCTACATTCGTCTGAATTCGCACGTCCAATTTTGTATAGATGTGCTAGTAATCCTGTGTGTCCACTGAGAATACGTACCATCATACTAACCTCAGACTTGCTCATTTTGAGAAGATTTCTCGTCTTGCTCTCATCAGGGTTACCCCATAGAATCTTTGTGGTTCTACCCACCGTTTCATTATTCCAAGAGGCCTTATGGGATTCTCTCATCCATATTTTTAATTCAGCTTTTGTTGCGTCGAATGGTTTTGCGTTTGTCAGGTTAACTACATCGAGCTCCCTTCCCTTTAAAGCTATTACATTCGCCCTTTCGTTGCCGATTACTCCCGAGTGGCCTGGTACCCATATGATGTGAACTTTACCTCTGGGAGAGTATTCAGTTAAAGCTTTCTTACAATCCAATACGGTCTTAGATTTAATTCTATCACCTTTGTGCCTCTTCAACCAGTTTCATCAGATCCGACGTTGGTGGTAGTGTCGGAGAATCGAAAGGCAGGTAAATAGATGCAAGGAATATGTTGCCACGACCTTGCTTCAGCACCGTTGCATCCGATGTTGATAATCCTGTTGAGAGGAGAAAACATAAGTTCTTGTGACATAAGATACATGTTCTCGGGCGAGATCCTGTATCAGCGTAGAAAAGTTGGAAATTTACGTGATTTAATC